CTGAACACATTTAGCATCTCTGTGAAATGGCGTGGACAGTGGTCCCCACCTCCCCGGGCTGTCATGAGGCTTAGAGGAGATAGTGCATGCATAGCACTTAGCACAGGGCCTGCAATTCATAAGTGCAAAGGATTACCAGTTAAGTGGCCAATATTACTTATGCATTATTTTTAAAAAGCAAAATGGGACAGAATTGTACATTAATTGATGCAGATTTTCTTTTCTAGACCAATTCAGTATCACAATTTCACTAACATTTTCTGCTAACTTTTTATTTTGAAAATTTTCAAACTTACAGAAAAGTTGAACGAACAGTACAATGAAGATCTGTGTATGCCCTTCATCTAAATTTGCCAATTATTGATATGTTGCTACATTTACTTTCTCTGTTTATACACAAGTATACACACACTCCCAGACATCTAACTAAATACAGCTTTTCTTGAAGTTCTGAAAAGTATTTAATCTGTCTTTATCTAACTCTTCTCATTTTCCCTTCATCCTTTTCTAACGATATGGCCTGTTTTCATTTTTCTAAACTCTTTGAATGTAAGTTGCAGACATCTTACTCTTCAGTTCCTAAATTCCCAACTATATGCACTTTCTAAGAATGTGGACATTTTCTTTCATAAACATAATGTCATCACACTCAAGAAAGTTCATAATAATTCCATAAAGTTATCTGATATCCAGTACATATTCAAAGCATGTTCAAATTTATGCAATTGTCTCAAAAATATTTTAAGCTGTTTTGTTGTTGCTTTGATGTTCTACCCAGAATCCAGTTAAGGTTCTCTCATTGCATTGGTCACTCCTAACCTACACCCCAGTTTAGGTCAGTTAACTCATAGAATGTCTCATATTTTGGATTTGTCTGACTTTTCCCTTGGGGAAAGTTTCTATTAGCTTGTTCCCTCTTCCCCTGCAGTTCTGACTCCCTAGACCTGAAGTGGGCCCCTCATGCAGGGATCCCTAAGTCACTGCGCTCCAGGGTGTGGGATCTACCATTCAATAAGTGTCTGTTCAGGTCATTTATCCCTACTCACTGAGTGGTAATGTTGGCTCTAGGCCTAGATGTTAGGTAAGGCAAACTACAACAAATTAAGATTTGAATTGGCTGTGATAGAAAATCCAAACAGTGGTAGCTTGAACAAGTTGATATTCTCTCTCCATCTCTCTGTCTGTCCCTCCCTCTCTCTCTCTTTCATGAAAGTCTGGAGGTAGGCAGCCTCAGGCTAACGGAGTAATCCACATATGAGGCTCCACTATCTTGTTGCTGCCGCTCAAAGTCTGAGATGACTGCTCCAGCTTGAGTCATCACGTCCCCGTTTCAGCCAGCAGGAGGGAGGAAAGGGAAGGAAAAGGGCACTCTGTTTCATGACACTTCCTGGACATCACACATACCATTTCCACTCACATCTCATTGGCCATAATGAAGTTACATGGCCACATCAACCTGCAAGGAAGGTTGAGAAATGTAGCTAAAATAAGGGGTTCCACTGATACACAGAGAAGAAGAGATTTAGGGGACACCCATCAGCCTTGGCCATGTCTATTTACAGAGGCAGGTGGTCAAGAGGGTCACTGAGAAGTCACTAGTGGGCTTTGGAGAAGCCCACAAAAAAGGCATTGGAGATGGCATGGGTTAACATTCAGAAAGATGAAAACAGACCACATTTTTAGAAAAAGATAAGGGAAATTGAGAATTGTTAAAGATAGGCAGATTAAACACTTTTCAGAACCTCAAGAAAAATTTAATTTATTTGGGTTTCTATGAAGGTGGTAGTCCCACAGTGAAGTAAATGTAAGCAACCTATCCTTTTAAAATAACCTGTAATAACCTGCTGGATATCCAAATCACTTGGATTTATTGGAATTTTGCAGAAATATATTACCAGCTCTCCATTCATTCATTCATTTTCTCACTCAGCAAACAAACATCAAGTGACAGGCACTGAGCTGGGTCAGGGGATTAACAGTGAGTGAGACAGAACAACAGTCCCAGCCCACACGGTGCTTCCGTGAGAGAGATCCTAACCAAATACGCACAAAACCAAATCTGAACCTATGATTGCGCTAAGTGCTACACACAAGACAAATACGGGATTTGTCATCAAAAGAAGCATTTGCCCTAGTCAAGAGGTCATTTATCCCTACTCACTGAGTGGTAATGTTGGCTCTAGGCCTAGATGTTAGGTAAGGCAAACTGCAACAAATTAAGATTTGATTTGGCTGTGATAGAAAATCCAAACAGTGGTAGCTTGAACAAGTTGATATTCTCTCTCCATCTCTCTTTCTGTCAAAAAAACCTTCCCAGAGGAGGCAAGGCTTGGGCTGAGGGCTAAAGGCAAAGTAGGCTGAACTAAGTAGGGGGAGGAGGGAAGCCGGCTAGTGGTGAGAGGGTGAATGCCTTGACTGGAGGGAGACCTGAGCAAGGGCTCCAACAGCAGAACGTAAGAATGTGAGACTTGAGACAAAATGCAAAACACTACCTCCAGTTTGCTACCTTTCATGTAAGCAAGGGAGGAAATAAGAAAATATGCACGTCTGTCCATTTGAGCAAAACACATGTGCACATACATACATGATAAACTAGAAAAATAATGAGATTGGTTACGCACGGTGAGTGAGTAGGAGTGGAGTGAAGAGAACGGGGGATACGGGAAGAGAGCAGAAGGGATATGTGGGCGTGACATGTCTCTGAGTATAACTTTTTGTATAGTTCTGACTTTTAGAACCATGTTAGTAGCACATATTTTAAAAGTAAATAATTTAAATTAGCCAGGATGTGGGGAAGGGAGAACCCCAAAAGAAATACAAACAAAAAAAATACAAGCAGAAATATGAGCCCGACTGTATTACAAATGAAGAACATAACGAGACTGAAGAGGATGGGGAAGAAAAGAACTAACCTAACGTAACCTTGGAAAACAATATTTTAACTAGATATGCTAAGACTAAAGTAAATTTGTTCCTCAGTGGGGTATGGGTTAGCAATTGTGAAGCTCCTTTGTGAGTATTCTAGGATTGAGCAAATAAGTAAACATAGTGTGGATAATGAGAGCCAGGTTTCTCACCATCAGGGAAAGGAGTTACAAAGAAAGGAGCAATGTTGGAATAAACTCCTTCCTTAACGTTGGATTGGAATCAGAGGTATCAGTATGAATTCAGTTACCTGTGCACAGACACACACACACACAGAGAAGTAAATATAGATGTGTGTATGTGTGTGCATTCATATATTTCCTAGCTATGTCTGCTGAGAGGGCCTAGAAGTAGTTATGAGGGGACTTAGTGCTCAGATCTTGGTTTCTAAATACCGTTCTCCAGTAAGAGAAATTAAGGCGCCTTGAATTCCAGGACTGGATCAGGACAAGTAAGAATTGAGCCTGGAGCACCTTGTGGTATTAGAAAGTAAGAAGTGCTCAAAAAATTACAGGGACCTGAAAGGACACAAGAGGGGTTCCTAGTGGCCAAATCTGGGATAATTTGAATACCAAATATGGGGCCAGCCCGGTGGCACAGCAGTTAAGTTCGCACGTTCCACTTCGGTGGCCTGGGGTTCGCTGGTTGGGATCCTGGGTGCGGACATGGCACCGCTTGGCAAGCCATGCTGTGGCAGGCGACCCACATATAAAGTAGAGGAAGATGGGCAAGGATGTTAGCTCAGGGCTAGTCTTCCTCAGCAAAAAAAAAAAAAAAAAAGCAGGAGGATTGACAACAGATGTTAACTCAGGGCTAAACGTCCTCAAAAAAAAAAAAAAAAACTATTAGAATTTACACTAAGAATCAAACTTTCAAATGGAAGCCAGTAGGAGCTCCTAATCTTTATCCCCCTAGAGATTAGCAACTGTTGTTAAAATTTCTCTTTTAATTCTTTAAATTTGTTTCCTCCCCGCAATGCCACTGAGAACAAGCAAATGATAAACTAAGATGGAAGCGTTTGCCTGAGGAGCCCAAGCTGACAGACACTGACAAAGGAAGACAGAAAACACATGAGCTTGTAGTGAAAAAGCAGCCAGAAAGCAACTCGGATCCTACGTGGTCATGTGCATTCAAGTCACATGTGTCACGTGTGGTCAACACCCTCTGTGTTTGTCCTTATACAGCATCTGGGCTTTCAGAAAAAGCCAGAGACTCATGTACTTCAAGAGGCATAAAAATACATTTCAAGTCAGTCTCTTTAATTATAAAACCGCTATCTAGAAAGGAAATTTCTATAACTGAACTTTTAAATTGAGTTTAAAAAAATCCTTTCTACTTAAAAAAAAGGCACCATACAACATTATGGGACTATATAGAGAAGTATGTCCAACATAATCTGAAATTCTTGATTTTAATGTTTGAATTCAAATCTAATATATATTTAACATTCCATTTGCTTTCCAGGAAACTAAAATTTAAAAGAAAAAATGTTTTTTATCTTCCCAAATAAAAGTGGTATAAAACTATATTTAGTTTTCATCAGTCAGAAGCATAACTGCCTTTAACTAAAACTAAATAAAGGACAATACAGATTCCTTTAAATTAAATCATATTATACCACACATACATATATATACACACACACACACACACACACACACACACATATGTAAGATGAAGTGAAATATGAGCACCCTATTTATATAACTAAGGCTGAGGAACTTAAATTCCTAGATCACACAACACCTTGACAAAACGTTTTTTTTTTGGTGAGGAATATTGGCTTGAGCTAACATTTGTAGCCAATCTTCCTCTTTCCACTTGAGGAAGATTGTCTCCGAGCCAACACTTGTGCCAATCCTCCTCCATTTTGTATGTGGGACGCTGCCACACCATGGCTTGATGAGCAGTACATAGGTCCACACCTGGGATCCGAACCTGCAAACCCCAGACTGCCAAAGTGCAGCACGTGAACCCAACCACTATGCAACCAGGCTGGCCCCCTTGACAAAACTTTCTTATCTGTAGAATAATCCCCTGAAAGTAGCTATTAGATGAAATAACAAAAACTTTTATCCAAGGTTTTAGCTCTTTTTATTGACTTTCTTTTCTTCATGATCCTCTCTCAAAAGATAAATTACCTATTTTTCATATTTGTAAACATCAGACATTCAAGTCATATTACTACAGTCCTTAGAAACAATTCATTTCTTCACCTCTTCGCGCACACCTGCGATGGTGGAGGCTGTAGCTTGGAGCTCTTCGGTTTCCTCCTTTAGAACAGACTCCGCAGGCACCTGGTGTTCCTGAGCCCCGGATTTCACAGCATGAGCTGCATAGTTAAGGCTGGTGTTCTCACTCCAATGCCAGTACCGGGAGAAGGGGTTGTAGAACATTCCTGCCACCGTTTGAACAGACAGACCATCTGAAAATGAAAATCAGAAAGAGTAGATTTAATAAATAGTTCAAGTGCCGAAAGTCTCATGCAGCTCTCCATATTAAAAAAGGATTCCTAACTCAGTAGGCAAAATTACTCTGTCACCACGTACAGATCATTCTTTGCTGCAGCGTAGAACCTAAACTCTAAGGTGGACTTCCGGGGTCAGATCCCAGCCCTGGCACCTAACAGATGGTGACCCTGGGCATCACTTAATCTTTCTGAACCTCTCAGCTTTCTCACATCTACAGAACATATATCATAGAGGTGTTAGGATTAGATGAGGTATGTGTGTAAAGCAGCAGTGTTTGAAATTTGGCAAGTATTCAATAAATCTTAGATGTATTAGGATATACCTGCCAACAAGTGATTGTTCCTATAAAGCATCTTTAAAATATTTTTTCTACTCTATTTTCAACAAGGTTACTTGCAGAAATTTTTAGAACTTACTATATTGCATCAGACTGATAATATTCCAAGTAAAATCAAGTTTATTGATACACTGTTAGATGAACAAAAAGCTTGAGATATCCATGAGTCTAAGTACTCAACAGGAATACCAAATGCCAAACAATCTGACAGATGTTATTATTCGGCAGGAACTCAACACATAAATCAAGTGCTCATGATGTGTAAGGCAGAGCTAGGCTTTACAGGGAGTACAAAAAGGAGACATGGGCTTGCCTTCAAGCCGGAAAGGAGGTTAAAAATACCAAAATAACCATAATATAAGGCATGCTATAACTAGCATAAAATGCTTAAAAAGTGACACTGAAGTTCAAAATACGTCCAAAAATAGAGGGATCAGGAAAAATAATATGTAAGATAAGCTGACACAAGCAGGCTTTCAATAGGACAAACAGGATGTGTGAATAATAGATGTTTGTTCTTCATCCTTAAACAAGTGGGGACTAAACAGCCAAAAAGTATTCACTGATCACCTGTGATTTGCGTGGCCGAGGGTTAGGTGCCACAGCTGAGAGGGAAGTGGTGTCTAACACGTACACCTACCTTCAAGGAGTTTATGATCTAGCTAAGGAGAGGAAACCAACATCCAAAGAATAGTGGCCTATTAGTGAAGTGCTAGGTTGTGTGATTAATAATCATAGGTCCATTAAAAGTTCAGTTAGGCCTTGAAAGTTGGAAAAATTCTTAATACTTACTTGATTCCAGAATGCTCTCGAGCATTTCCGGTGAAACAAACTTCTCCCATGTATGAGTACCTTTTGGTACAATACCTGCAATTTGCTCTGCAAAAACAATTCCCAAGGCATAGGACAGCTGTGTCTTGTTGATTGTAGTAATGAATAAAGAAGCACCGGGCTAAAAAAAATATGTATAGAAGTAAAATATTAAACGTCAGGAATGTCAGTCAGGTAAAGGCTTGGCTTCCCCCACCCTCCTCCTTCCTTCAATAGTCTCAGTGCAATTAAGATACATAAGTATGAATAAAATATAATTGGCCAAAATAGTATTTTTTCTCTTGGAAAATTCATTGTTAAAGGTAGTCCACTACAGATGTACTCACTGAGTTTACGCAACAGTGCTTACAACTTGTAAATCATATACTACTTCACATTTATATTATACATTCTTCTGTACATATCAAATACTTTATAATAAAAATACAGAAATGAGATCAGGCTGCTCTTCCTTGCTCCATGTCACACTGATGTTCCCACATGTCAATGCTGTTTTCTCTTTGGGGGCTAGACCTGTCTGACTTGTTTGGTCCAGCACACTGCTCCCATCTTGTGCAGGCGAGCAGTGCCAGTAAGTTCTCTGACAAAAACATTAATGATTAAAGTTTGAAAGTTTTTTGTTTTGTTTTCATCTCATTAGTATAAAAAATATGAAGAGCTCAAGATAAGCACTTAGATGAATGCAAACCATTTATGGGACTGTTTATTCTGCCATTTTTTAGCGACTACTATGGTGTTTCCTATATTTACTTCCACAAATGGCAAGGATGTTAATGTCTCCTCCCTCTTTTACATGTTCTCATTAGCCTGAAGGGGATAACATGCCAAAGATTCCCCCCAAAATAATCATATATATATATATATATATATAAAGAGAGAGAGAATACATCAAGTACCACCCAAATCAAAAATAAAAAAGATAAGAGGGGCCCTGAAATATTGGAATGTATCCTTAAATTAAAAACTAAAATATCAGACACTGTTTCATCACACATTGTAACTTTTCTCTATAAACCTCTAGTATTCTAAAATATCTTATTAAGAATCACTTATGTGTCAATTATATCTCAATAGTACTAGGAGAAAAGGAGCTGCCCTGTGGCCAAGTGGTTAAGTTTACACACTCTGCTTTGGCGGCCCAGGGTTTCGCAGGTTTGGATCCTGGGTGTGGACATGGCACTGCTCAACGAGCCATGCTGAGGCGGCGTCCCACGTGTCACAACTAGAAGGACCCACAACCAAAAATATACAACTATGTACCGGAAGGCTTTAGGGAGAAAGAGGAAAAATAAAATCTTAAAAAAAAAAAAAGAAAAGAAAAAAGAACTAGGGGAGAAAACCACTTATGAATATCTAATCTGTGTTCTGCAAAATCTTACTCTAAAAAATATTGGTGAGCAATGGTCATTTGTGTTTTAAAAATAGGCTTTCCATTAAAGCAAAAGTTAGTTTTAAATTCCATAATGCCAGCATTTGCCATATGTGTGAAAGAATCTCATTCATACATACTGACGGACACACAACACGAAAGTAATAATTAAGGCGTTTTGCCTGGAAAATAGGAGATAAGCCCAACAAAACTCATTTAAGGGGAAACACCATGAAACTGCTACAAACTGAAAGAGAGTAAGGAGACATGGCAACTAGATGCAGTGTGGGATCCTGGATTGGATCCTGCAACAGAAACATGACCCTAGTGGAAAAACTAATGGAATTTAACGAGCTCTGCAGTGTAGTTAACAGCATAATGTCAAGGTTAATTTCTTTGTTTTGAGGACTGTACTATGGGTCATGTACAGGGCTGAGACTACGGTGAGGCAAGTGAGGCACGGAGGGCTTGAATCTGAAGGACGCACGCACGCACCCTCCACCACGTGCAAATGGAGAGGGCTCCGCAGATTGCGTGCCTCCTTCAATTTCGTGCCCTACGTGCCTCACTTGCCTCACCCTAGCTCCTACCCTTGTTCTATAAAACGTTAACAGTAGGGGAAATTGGGTGAAGAGTATATATTTGGGAACATGCTATACTATCTTTGCAACTCTTCTATCAATCTAAAATTATTTTTTAAAAAGGAGTATTTTTAAAAAGCTCTATTTAGGTAAGGCTAAGCATTTCATTCTTTTAGCTCTTGACTTGAGGGTGTTATCTCTTGAATACATAAACAGCAGCATCCATATAGTGACAATAATAATAATACTTTAAGGATATTTATTAAAAGCAAGTTTGGAACCACCTTCAGAGGACTACATATGGCAAATTATATAAGCACAGTAGTGAAGTCTGGGAAGAACCAGACTTGGAATCAAAAGATGTAGCCTTAAGCACCACTTAAGTGTCTACGGACCTTTGACTTAAAGACCAAGTGACCTTTGACATCTCTCAAATTCTAATTTTCATTGGGTCAAAGGAGGTCACAACAATGCCTGCCTTACTTTCCTCACTGGTTGTAGGCGAGATCATATGTATGAAGCAATCTTTTATCAGCTGAAAACTGTTATACTTATCACAGTTACTTAACAAATGTTAAGTGTTGATTTTTAGGTATTAATCCAAATCAATTTCTTAGCAATTGTCATTCAATGTGTATTAGGTATTTAATCCAGACTATACCAATGGAAAAATATCGCTATAAATCTATTGTTTGTATTATAACGTTCAGCACCAACATCTTTCAAGATCCCTGGATATCAAGATACTGGAGCTGGAAAACCCCAGAGGGCAAGCTGAGAGGCAGAAGTAACCTCCAGCAGAGATGCTGTCCCCTAATCCTGGGTTCCTGGTTTCCAGTATTATGAAAGATTTATTGCTATAGATACAAACACACACTTAAAAGAAAAAACAAACAAGTTAAGTCCATAAGTCTTACTTTCAACACTTGCCAGCAGCACTGTATAAATGTTTCTAGATCAGTCACATGCTCTACAACTTCAGAAGCTATGACAGCATCAAACGTTTCTGCAGTTTCTTCCACAATCTCTTCCAGGGCACAGGCTCTGTACTCTATCCTCTTATCCAGAACCGGATCAAATGATTTATGGCGCTGCGCTGTTTCAATGTTCTCAGCCACAGGATCAATTCCAATAACTGAAGCCCCAAGCCGCCCTAGAGGCTAATGGCATAAAAAACCGTTACCCTCAGGAAGAAAACAGAACACACGTTAGCAATAAAAAGCTTATCAAAAACGAACCAAGATTAACCACCAGGGGATGATTATCAGAGATCATTTATGGGCACATGGAAGTTCATTATACCATTTTCTCTAGTTTGTTCACGTTTGAAAATTTCCATAATAAAAAACCTAAAAGAACAATAATCACAACTACAAAAAATGTATCAAGAACCACTTGAAAAAAATTTTGTCTACATTCTCTGGATACATTTACATGCACATAGTATAGTATTAACATATTTAAAGTGTAATAAATGTAACATGTCATTATAAAAATAGCAAAAATTGCTGACATTCAAATTTTCTAAAGAATGATTTTTTCTTGATAGTTCTGTGATTAGAAATGACTCTTCATAGCTAACTCTTCTTTCAGCTTTTATATTCAATCATTTCCCATGACATGCCCAAGTTTTTAACACAGCCTTAATTTTGATCAAAACTTGCATAGCATTTATTTTATAACTCTTAGTCAATAAGTTAAAAGTATAAATCAAATTATTTTAACTTTAATGACATGAGACCTGTAATAATACACTGAGAAGATTGTAGAACATGTATAGTAAAACTGTGCTCATTTATAATTTGATACACTACATATTCTTGATTCCAAGTGATGCATTTTCACATATTTTATATTTCTTAAAATTTTATAATTGATGTCAAAAGCAACCAGCCCACCGCCATATGAAGGACACGTTTTCTGTGCATGTGGAAACTTAGCTTTGCATCAAAGACCACCGGTAGCCTCACTGTCAAGGTGGCTGTTACGGACCTTGACAGTACCACATCCCAGTGAACATTAGCTTACACTTGTTTCCTATACTGTTGCTTAAAATATCTTTCAAAGATCAGATTATAATGCAGCGTTGAAACAAAAAGTTATTGTGTTGATAGAAGAATACAAAATAGAGCTGCAGGGCATAAATTTACCATAAACTCAAGCAAATATTCTTCACAGGGAGAATGAGTATTCTTCCAAGTACTCTAAAGTACTTAAGAAGGGGAAAGCCCCACAAGTAGGCAAAACTCTGTTAAGTTTTGATATTGAAGCAAATGCAAAAGGATGGCTCATCACTGCATTTAAACCAGTGGAAACTGCCTAATCTCTTGGCATAGAAAAGACAACAAAATTTTCAAAGCTATTCGAATAACCAGTGCCCCATTTTTCTGTTAAAGAAAAAAATCCTTCACTATAATTTTCTGAAATTTTTATATATACATTTTTAAGAAAGTAAAAAGCATGGATTACTTTTATAATCAGAAAAATATTATACAATTCTTTTTTTTAGGAAGATTAGCCCTGAGCTAACTACTGCCAATCCTCCTCTTTTTGCTGAGGAAGACTGGCCCTGAGCTAACATCCATGCCCATCTTCCTCTACTTTATACGTGGGACGCCTACCACAGCATGGCTTTTGCCAAGCAGTGCCATGTCCGCACCCAGGAACCATACTGGCGAACCCCAGGCTGCTGAGAAGCAGAACGTGTGCGCTTAACTGCTGCGCCACCGGGCTGGCCCCATACATTTCTTTTTTCTAATGAACAATACTATTTGTTAAAGGATAAATAAGCATACGCTCACTTCTTATCAATTTTTCTTCCCAGTTAAAAATGGCAGGAAAGTTGTAAATGACTTACTTCAGTTAACAATCCACCACCACAGCCAACATCAAGAATCTTCATCCCAGACAAAGGTTTTCCTGGCTGGTGATTAGCAACTGTTTTCAAAAGATTGTCTCTTAAAAAAATTCAAAGCATATAAGAACAAATTATTAATTTTATCAATAAAGTTTTAAAAGTATATAATTTTCAAGGAAATATTAAACTCATTTTAAATGGATTATTGATTTAGGGGTATTTTCAGCATTAATAACTTACTATACTATGTATAATTTATAAGATATTTTAAGTAGTCCAAAGCAGAAGGCTTAAAGTAAAGCTCTTGAAATAATCTAGTAATAATTATGACAATTATTACTTCAGTAATAATCTAAAGAAAAACTTTAAAGATAATCTATCTTAGATTAACCTAATTTTATTGGCTTGAGATATCATATACCTGAGACATCTATTAGCTACTTTGTCAGAACTTGCTAGACCATTTCATGTCAGCAACAAATAGGTTATTCTGCAGGGCTTAGAAGAAGCAGATTGGAGATCCATATATTCAGAATTTACCTATGTTCCTTTCTAAATTAAGCCTCTTTTAATCTTCTAAGTTAGTGATGTTTCCAAGATCATGTAAACAGGCATTCAAATCAAGTAAACTTAATTCTAAGATAATCATAGCAATAATTTACCACATATGCAAATATAAGCACACATATACACACACTGATATATACCTAATGGCATTGTAAATTAAATTTTAAGCTAGAGTATATGAATTTTAATTATACCTTATATTAAAATAAATGTTCCATACAATAAGGATATCTTTTATTGCTGTTAAAATTAATTGATTTCTAAGAATAACCTAGATAGTGGTTAAGTAGATAACTTTAAAATGTTATAATATACAGAAAGGGCCCATTTCAAATGAAGTCCAATCCATTCTTCACAGATCGGCCAAAATGATTCCTTTAAATCATAATTTAGATCATACCACTTCCCTTTCATAGCTTCCAATTATGCTCAGAAGAAAATCTAAACTTCTAGCCATAACTTGCATTGCCCTGGGTGATCTGTTTTAGTGTGATGTCTAAATAATGGTGTCACAGTAGTTTGAACTGAGTAGTTCTCAAGCTGAGGGTGAATCTGAATCACCTGGAAGGTTTGCTAAACCAGACTGCTGACTCCCCAAAGTAGGAGCACCAGGGTGAGACCTGAGAATTTTGCATTTCCAATGATTCCCAGGTGATACTGATGTTGCTAGTCCAGGGCCTACACCTTGAGAACCACTGATCTAGCTTAATAGAATGACATTTCTGCTTTTCTCTGCCATAGTGTTTCAGTGATCTACTAACTCAGTGGTAATCAAAAGGTACCAATATTTACTTTTGCTGTGCTGATTCTGGATGAACCAGCTGAAACCAATCAGAAAGTTTCTTGAGGGCATCTGAGTCTGATTTTCTGTGTCTATTACAGTGCCTTGCCCATATCAGCTGCTGAAAAATGTTTAGTGAATAAATAAATAAACGGACAGAAGAACGAATGAACAATTTCTTGATAAATGAAGTCTGATGAACCCTTGCCTTTCTCTCCCACAGCAAACTACAAGTCCCTGTAGTACGTGGACTGTGTTTCGAATGACGAATATCATAGTAGTTTTCACAGAATCTAGCCTCCAAGTTCTGTACAAGCTAAGTTCTCATAAATATTTATTGAACTGAACTGTCTCAGTAGTATTCCCTTTATCAGAACTGCCTAAAGGTCAAAGTCGCTATAAATTGACCTTGATGCCATAGGACCCTAGTTCCTTTTTGTAAGGATTTAATTCCAGTTAAGCTGACTGGAATATTTCAAGTTAATTTAGGAAAGCAGCCTAGAAATTAGGCAATATTATTTAAAAAATTAATGGTTTCAAACAATGGACATCTAAAAGAATCTTCCCAATTTCTAAAGCAAACTTAAAATGCAGCATTTTGAACCTAGGTATAAACCAAGAGGAAAAATGAACTCCTAAAAAGATGAATATTGAAAATAGCTGCATTTTAAAAGACTTAGACTCTCTAAAGGTTACCTAATGAATGGCACCCTCAGGTCGTTCATAGAATGAAGAGGCGCATACACTCCTTGCTCATCCCACCACCTGTGAGCCAGGGCCAGGAAGGTTTTCACCTCACTGCTGTCTACAGTGGTTCCAGAAGTGCTGTACAGTCTTGTCCAAGGGTACCTACAAGGTCAAATGAAGAACCAGGCAAAAACTGCCACTTTAAAAAATGTAATATGGGATAGATTATGCAGAAAGATATTCTAATTTACAATTTATTAGATTCTAAATACATGTATTGTTCATTTTTGATGCTTTAAAACCAAGTTTTCTTATAACCACACTGCATATAAATATATATGTACCTATTTACAGTTGAAACAAAATTAATTTGCTTTTAAAGTAAGTTACAACAAAAAACGAGCTTTATAAAACTTGGCCTTGTGGGTCACATCTAATATTGATAGCTGCAGTAGTAGCAGTAACCATTTATTGAGCATTTACTAAATGGCAGGTACTGTTTAAGAACTCCATGTGTCATAAGTCATCTCATTTAATCCTCCTGGTAACTCCAGAAGGTAGGTATTATTATTGTTCCTATTACACACTTAAGAAAAAGTAGGCTCAGAGACATTAAGTAAGCAGTGGAGCCAGGATTTGAACCCAGGTGCCTCCATCTTCTTCTCTCCATTTCTACGGCTATCAGCCTATCCAAGCTCCCATCATCTCTTGCTTGAACCATGTCCTAGCCTTTTAATTAGTCTGCCTGCTTCCAACCTCGTTCCCATCCAATCTGTTCTCCACAATGCACCCAGAGTGACTGTTCTGAAATATAAATATGATCATGCTATTTGCCACTTACAATGCTTCCATGGCTTCCCAGTGACATCAGGAAAAAGACCAAAATCCTCAGCATGGCCTACAATGCTCTGAATTATTTGGTCCCTAATTTCTTCCCTCTCCAAATTCATTTTCCACTACTCGCCTCCTCCTCCACAAGGGCGTTCTTTCCATGCTTTGAACTGACCAGGCTTGCTCCTTCCTCAGGTACTTTGTGTATGTTGCTCCCCCTGCCTGGAACATTCTTCTCTCATTCTCCCTTTCCTCCTCTATACACCTAATTAATTCCTTTTCCTTCTTCAGGTCTTAGGTTTAAATGGAACGTCATCTAAAAAGTCTTCCCTGACTCTCAAAACTGAGACATATTTCCCTATTTTAACTCCTACACAACTTTGTGCTTCTTCATGGGCTCTGTGATTATTTGATCATGTCTCCCTACTAGCACATCAGCACTGTGAGGGCAAGGCCTGCACTGTCTCGCTTACCATTTTATTCCTAGTGACTAGCACAGTTCCTGGAACACAGCTGGTGCTTAGGAAACATTTGTCAAATGAATAACCTGAAGGAGAAGGCCCAGAAAAGTACATAATTCATCTAAAAAAAATTTTTTTTAATCAAATGGGATCAAACAGGGACTACACAGGGATCAGAGAGACACTACACTGAGTTCCAGGTCAAAGTACTTGGTAAGAAAATCCTCTAAAGGTTCTTGGGTAAAAGAGAATAAGGTTGTTACATTAGAATAGGTAATGCCATTCAAATATTTACCATTTTTTTTAGCTACATAGAGTACACTCTATATTGATTACTTATCCTTTCAGGAGTTAAACGTCACTCTTCTTTAATATTATCTTGTGAACATTACCCTCCATTTCCATGCTTCATGCAAAGCCTCAGTAATCAAGGATTAACTTACAGTAGATAACAGTAGGTAGTTGCTCAGTTGGCTAAGAACGATTTCACATAGACTCAATCTTAAAGGAGCTAACCCATTTACAAGAAGTAAAAGCATGCACTTGGAAAACAGAGCTCATACTTTATGCAATATTTCTCAGAAGGGTAAAAATTAATTTATAAAATACAAATACAGAACGACATTACTTTGATTCAGTCTTACTACCTAGAATGTATACTTATCCACCTTACCGTATTTATGTTGCACTCAAATCATTTATGATTTTAAGCATGGTATTATTTGTGTCCTGTCATAAGGATATTATGAGGAAGTAAAAAGTACTTCTCCAAGTAACATAGTCTTTTATTAAAATAAAAACTCTCTCTGAATATGGAAGACAGATATGCACTGGATGTACAGTGTATTACAAGTTTCCTGTGGGTTTTAAATTTTCCAAATTTAAAAGTTGTGAAAAAAATAAGAAATTTAAATAAATAAAAACTACCCTAATCAAACCACATGAGCTATTACATACTGACAGGGTTTATTAAACACAATCAATACTAAACTATTATTGCACATAATTATGTAAATTTTTGTCACAGTAATGAATAAACTTACCTGTAACTTTTCATTCTATTAAAACAGACAAAAGTCATTTTACAGGATTTAAACCACATGATTCTATATTCACTGAAAATCCACGGTTTAATTGGTAGAGTCCAACTGAGCTGGTTCTCTGAATAAACTGAAAAAAAAAATTAAATATTTAGAGAAAGCATTGCACAGTATGAATCCCTGATATGCATGTAACTGAAGAAACTATTTTATATAGCAACTTTTAGTAAAATTGATAAACAAAATATTTTTTTCTTTATTTTATATTTTAGAATAAAATAAAGGTCTTGCATTCTGCCATCTAACTCTAATCAAACATTTCTGAAATTATAATTAGCAAAAACAAGTAATGAATATGTAAAAGTTTTCCATGCCATTAGTGTTTGCACCCACATTATGCCACACAAAATCATAAAAAAAGGAATTCAAATTAAAACATTACCTTTTAAACTAGGGTAATATTAATTCTGAGATTATTTGTCACAACTAGGTCAAATTCTGTCACTTCCATGTTAGCTACATGAAGTGGGTTTATACATATGCTCACAGCCCTTTACAGAGGAAAAAATATACACATACATATGTAAAACATACTAAAATAAACACTCATCCAGTCTATATGTACCAACTTACATAGGGACCTGCTTTTATAAACTAGTTACTCTGCTGTAGAACATTTAGTTTTTCAATAAACATTTAGACAAATTAGACCTTAGAGGAAAGAAAATTACCAGGGATATTACATTATGATAAAAGGGACAATGCACCAAGAAGACAAAGCAATTCTAAATGTGTATTCACCAAACAACAAAATTTCAAAACACATAAAGCAAAAATTGACAGAACTGAGAGGAGAAATTAACAAATCTACAACTATAGTTGGGAGCTTCAACACCCCTCTCTCAGTAATTGATAGAACAACGAGACAAAAATCAGTAAGGACACAGAAGAACTAAACAACACCATCAATCAATAAGATCTAATTAAAATTTATAAAACACTCCACTAAAACAAAAACAGAATATACATTCTTTCAAGAACGTATGGAGCATTCATAATAATAGACCATATCCTGGAATAAAAAACAAACTTTCACAACTTTAAGAGAAGTGACATCATAAAGTATTTTCTCTGCTACAATGGACTCTAGAAATAAATAACAGAAAAATAACATGAAAAGAAGAAAACACTTGGAAATTAAACAACACACTTGTAAACAATCCACAAGTCAAAGATAGTCTCAGGGAAATAAAATTGAAATAAATTTAAATATACTATATATATAAATCTGTGGACATAGCTAAAGCAGTACTTAAAGGGAAATTTATAGCACTAAATATTCATATCAGAAAAGAGGAAAGGTCTCAAATCAACAACACACTTGCTTTATCTCTAAAATCAGGAACATGGCAAGAATGTAGTCTCATGACATCTATTCAAGATACTACTAAAAATTTTAGCAAATGCAATATGGTAAGAAAAGGAAATAAAAGGCATACCAATGGAAAGGAAGAAATTAAACTGTCCTTCTTTGCAGATGACATGATTGTCTATGCAGAAAATTCCAAGGAATCTTAAAAAAAAAAGCCCCTGGAACTAATAAATGAGTTAAGCAAGGTCACAGATTATAAGGTCAACACACACAAAAGTCAATTGTTCCTACATACAAACAATGAAAAATTGGAAGGCACAATTTAAAATGCTATATATATCATGCAAAATCAGTCTAAAAAAGAATGAAATACTTTCAGTGTTGAGTAAATCTAACAAAACATGTACAGTGTCTGTATGTTAAAAATTTGTATAAAACACTGATACAAGAAATGAAAGGCAGCCTAATAAATGGTGAGACATACTGTATTAATGGATTGGAAGACTCAACATCAATTCTCCCCAAATTGATCTATAAGTTTAATACAATTTCTAGCAAAATCCCAATAGCTTTTTCTTGTAGATACAGATGAGCTGATTCCAAAATTTATATGAAAAGGCAAAAGAAATAGAATAGCTAAAACAATATTGAAAAAGAAGAATAAAGTTACAGGAATCACAATAGCTAATTTTAAGACTTACCATAGAGCTATAGTAATCAAGACAGTGTGGTATTGGAAGAGGGACAGATACAAATATCAACACAACAGAAGAGAGTCTAGAGATTAAAAAAACAGTTCACCCAACTGATTTTTTGACAATGGTGCAAAGCAGTTCAATGTCGGAAGAACAGTCTTTTCAATAAATGGTGTTGAAACAACTGGATGTCACAGATAACAAAGAAAACTTCGATCTAAATCTGATAACTTACACAAAAATGAACTCAAAATGGACCACTGATTTAAATGCAAAACTATAAAACTTTTAGAAGAAAACATAGGAGATGATCTTCACGACTTATAGTTAGGCACAGAGTTCTTACATCGGACACCAAAAGCACAATCCATAAAAGGAAATAATGATTACATTGGACTTAATCAAAATTAAAAATTTTTGCTCTGCAGAAGATCCTGTTAAGAAAAAGAAAAGACAAGTCACAGACTGGGAGGAAATATTTGCAAAACATATATCCCACGGAGAACTTATAACTGGAATATATATAAGGATATTCTTTAAACTCAACAGTAAAAAACAAACAAAACATCAACTCCCACACACAAAAAAACAAGCAATCCTAATCCAATTATAAAATGAGTGTGGGTATTATAAAATGGATATAAAAAGACATGAACAGACATTTCATCAAAGAGGATATACAGACGTAAATAAGCATGCGAGATGTTAAATATCAATAGCCATTAGAGAAATGCAAATAAAAGCCACTACATATCTATCAAACTGGCCAAAATTTAACCATCCTAACATTACCAAGTGTGGACCAGGATATGAAGCAACCAAATCTCTTACATATTGCTAGTGGGAATGTAAAATGGCACAGATACTATGGAAAGCAGTTTATCAGTTTCCAATAAAGGTACACGTATACTTATCATACAACCCAGCAATTACATTCCTGGGCACTTATCCCAGAGAAATGAAAACTTATGTCCACACTAAAACCTGCATATAAATGTTCATAGCAGCTTTATTCATAATAGCTAAAAACTGGAAACAACCAAAATATCCTACAATAGGCGAATGGTTAAGCAAACTGTGGTATATCTATATCATGAAATACTGCTGAGACATCAAAAGGAATGAACTATGGATATATGCAACAATTTGGATGAATTTCAAGGGTATTTATGATGAGTGGGGGAAAAAAAATTCAAAAGGTTCATACAATTCCATTTAATTAACACTCTTGAAATGGCAAAACTATAGTAATGGAGAACAGATCCAGTGATTGCCAAGGTTGGGGGTAGGGTCTGAGTATAAAGGAATAGTATCAGGAAATTTCTTTACGATCATGGAACAGTTCCACATCTTGATTGTGATGGTTATTACACAAATCTCTACATGTGGTAACATACACACACAACACGTGTGCATGCAAACGGGGTGAAATCCAAATAAGCTCCCTAGTTTAGTTAACAGTATAATACAAACGTCAGTTTCCTGGCTTTTACAAAGTATTATGGTTAGGCAAGATATCACTGAGTTGGGTGCAGGGCATATGGAAATTCTCTGTACTATCTTTACAACTTCTTGTGAGTCTTAAATTATTTCAAAATAAGAGTTTTTTAAAGCACTAGAAAGTACCTCTCCTACCCCTGACTCCAGCTATCTTGTTTCCCTCACTGGAGGCAACTATTGTTACTAGATTGGTATGTAAGCTGCTAGAGAGATATTTTATACATACATCATTTTGGGGTATCAATTTCTCTTATTTTATACAAAATGTATCACAATATATACATTCTTCCATACTTTGCTTTTTCCACCCATCAAGGTGTCTTGGAGATTTTTTCATAACAGAGTATAAAGAACTTACTTTTCTTTTAGGGTTGCATGATAATCCATTGTATGGCTATCTCATAAGTTATTTAAGCAGTCTCCTATTAGTGGACATTTATTTCTAATTTTTTGCTATTCCAAACATACAACATTGAATTACATAGGTAATTTCATACACCTTTGAGAGCACCTGAGGTAAAATCCCAAGAACTGTCATGCCAACGGACATGTGCACTTATAAATTTGTCATCGCCACTCATGGATTTTGAACTAATTTGCAATTCCTTGGGAAATTACAATAGTTTCTAGTGCTGGTTTCCCCACACTGATAATACATTGATAGTCACCGATGCGATGTATTTTCAAACATTTTTATCTTTGCTAGTCCAAAAGGTACAAGTGATATCAAATGGTATCTCTATAATTTTAATTTATCATGAGTGAGGTTAAGTGTCCTTTCTTAAATTTAATGGTGCTATGGTCTGAATATTTGTGTCCCCCCTCAAATTCATGTTAAAATCCTAAATCCCAAGGTGATGCTATTAGGAGGTGGGGCCTTTGGGAAGTGACTAGGTTATGAAGGTGGAGCCCTCATGTTTGGGTTTAGCGCCCTTATAAAAGAGACATCAAAGAGCTAGCTCACCCCTTCTACCATGTGAGGGCACAGCAACAAAGTTCCATCTACGAACCCGGAAGTGGGCTCTCACCAGACACAGAATCTTGGACTTCCCAATTTCTAGACCTAGGAGAAATAAATTTCTGTTGTTTATAAGCCACCCAGTCTGTGGTATTTTGTTACATAGTAGTTCAAATGGACTAAGTCATTCATATTTCATGCCTTGTCTTTTCATAGTCTCTGAACATTTGTCTCCCAAGCTTTTTGCTTTTTAAAATTTTGTTTTACTTTTTAATAGGTTCTTCCCAGTCTGCCCCAAATCCAATTCAAAGTTCTCAAAAGAAAAAAGTTTGTGCTTCTAGGCTTTTGCTCATGTTATTCTCTCTTCCACCATTTCTATCTGTACTACCTTTTAAGACCCAGTTCAAATATCACCTCCTTTATGACTTTAGGTAGGTAAATTATATATATTAGAGAATTATGTAAACTGTGATACATAGCTAAGGATATATAAGGTATTATTATGAAACTGAGCCTCAGATTTTAACACAGTCCCTGCTCCCTACTCAGTGATGACCACTATCGCCCTCTGACTGCTCCTGTTTCTGGAAAATTAGTCCACTAGTCATTAGTATTGCCAGAATTCTCAAGAGCTTTAAAAATCACTTCATTACAACTGAGAGAAACTAATTGAGTTTGTATTAATAAATAGGATCTTACTAGTTCCTTCTCTACCTTGGATCTGTGATCATTCCAGTATTTGAGATTTCAAAGGAATGGGGGAAATTTCACCTTATTTGTTCAAAAGTCATTTATCCAGTACCTATCAAGTACCAGGCTGACGGTGAACAGGCCCTCTGCCCTGCCCACACCTGAGTCCCAGCAATCACTGACTGTCTGGATTACTCTACCCTCCCTGAGCATAGTTGTGCCTGCTTCCGTCCCACTTTCTACACAGCTGCCAAGTACTACTTCTTAAACACCAGTCTGATTATGTTGCTCCTTCAGAATTTCCCACTACCCTCAAGATAAAGTCAATCTCAGGAGGTGAATGTGGCCTTTTGTGGACTTGTAATGGCCTAAAATGTCTCCTGTCTCATTCCCTGCCACCACCCGCCCTCATCTCCAGCTCTCTACGCACACCCTACTTTTCAAGGAACGCTGTGCAATTTCCCAGAAAGAAACCTCATCACAGATAGTCAAGCTTGTCCCCCGGCCACTCCGACAGCTGCTAAAACTGGCCAACGCCTTCAAGACAGCTCCCCAAACACCTTGTTTAAGAAATTTCCCTGATCTCAAATATGTATTAGGTGCTCCTTCTATGTTCAGTCCCCAAATGTGCAAATATTCACATTGTATTTTTCCTAAATTTCTGATTCTAAAAGACATGTTTACTGAAAAAAAATTCCGAGAATGATTAAATGACAGATCGCCTACTCCATCACATATTCACTGCTAAAATTTTGATGCATCTCTATTCTCTATATCTCCATCCATATCTATACCTTTTAGTTCATAACACATACTGATTTGTAACGTACTTTCCTTACACTATATCCTAATAATTTTTCCATGTGGACACATGTTGATTGAAATAATTTTTATTGGCTGCACAGTAAGAGAGTACGAAGCTTATCACCTCTATAGGTGGGCCTTTAAGTTTTCCTCTTTTTTTTTTTTTTGCTTATTATATCTTGATCATAGTTCTATCCTAACACTGGCACCTGAGCTAACAACAGCTGCCAATCTTTTTTCTTCTTCTCCTCCTCCTCCCCAAAGCCGCCCAGTACATGGTTGTATATTCCAGACGCAGGTCCGTCTGGTTCTGCTGTGTGGACGCCCCCTCAGCACGCCTCACGAGCGGCACCACGTCCCCGCCGAGGATCCCAACCCGCGAAATCCCGGCCCCCAAGGGGAGTGTGCGAACTCAACCACTCGGCCAGCGGCCGGCCCTGAAAAAGACCTTTGAGGCGTCATTGATTTAAAAATTCCCAGGGCCTGACATACAGCATTCGTTAAGTGAGTTTCACATAAAGGATGAACTTATCTTTCTGGTTAATGTTGGGAGTGAAGTCATCAAACTGTCGTCTGTGTCAGGTTCAGTGCGTTATTTTCTCGATCGTATTTGCCCATACTGTCTCCTGAATTAGCCTATTAATCAAAAAGTAGTATAGCTGCCCTAGATGCTTTCTGGAAAGAGGCAAGCCGTGTGTACACTAAACATAAACACAAGGCTCCCCGCCGCCGGGAGGCCGCGGTGGGGTCCTTCCCGCCGCGCAGACCAAGACAGCCCGCGACCTTGAGACTCCGCCCAGCTCCTCAGACGACGGTCGCTGCAGACACGGCGGCGGCGGCCTGCGTCCAGGACCGCTCGCCCTCAGCTATTTGTCCCCGCCTCTGGGAAGGCGAGGGCGGGAACCCAGGCCCAGCGCTCAACCGACGACACCGAGGCCAGACCGACAGCACAGGACTGGCGCAGACCCCGAGGAGCTCAGCGGCAGCCTGCGCCTGCGCAGAACAGCGGGTCCGCACGGCGGGCAGCGTGCGAGGGACCTCCCCCTACACACACTCACCTGCCGACGCGGTGGAGCGCGGACAGTCAGCCTGTGCGACCCGGCACCCAGACCTTCGCACTCCTAAAAAACGACTCCCGGAGGAGATCAGCTTGCGGCTTCCCCACATTGCGACAGAAAGGACCCACCCCTTTTCCGGTCCCTCCCGCAAAAGATCCCCCGACACACAGGTTCCGAGATCGCTCTTGCACCATCTGGAGCCAGCCTGATCACGGTTGTATTAATAACGGGTGTTATATTGTGCGGCTATAGTCACTCTTCACGCTTAGTATCTGTCACACTGCATGCAGCTAACCTACAGAACGTTCCTATTATAAACGAACTTCAGGGTCCTCTATTATGCCTGTTCCTATGCGACCACCTCAAACCTCGTGGCCAAAGTAGCCATCAGTCATGCTAATACTTCGCACTACGTGATCTAGCTTTTATTCCCGTTACTCTGATTACTTCATATTTAACATGTCTCCCAAGGACATTTATACTCGTGAGACACTGACCCTAACTTAGAATCACAAAAGCATGGAAGCACCTCTTCCCGAAGGGTAAAATTGTTTCCCCCTTCAAGGCACTCAAATGTCACAGAGGGCCTGAAGTCTAAATTGAAAATTTATTTACAAGTGACCTGATAATACTCTGGACAAGGATGTAGTAGGAGACTGTTAATCACTCAGGCTGGGCATTTCGAGCTAGAATGGTGATCAGTAACATTTTACTTCTAGATGTATAAAAAGCCTTTCCTTGGGTAAGCACAATGATAAATTTCTAACATTAAAGACAAAAAAATCACTGTACATTTTCAACAGGCCGGGTCAAATTCATAAAGGGTTCCTTGAATTAGTCAAATTTACTGCTTAGGACTGGTCTCTGACTTATGGCTTCTTAGTAAAACACTGGCCTCCTCCTAAGGGCTGTGGCTTTTCAGTTACGTCCTCTTCAGAGCTCCTCTCAAGATACATGACCATCTCTCCAACTGAAGGCAGAAAGCTCTGCACAAAAGAACATTTGGCATGCATTACAAATATTTGTTGGACTGAGAGACCCAAGGAAAAAGCAAAGTGCAAGTATGATTAAAGTTGTAAGTTTTTTATTTAAACGTACTTCCTTCGAATATACGACCTCACTAGGCTTCAGTCTTTCCACTACATTTTCAATTCAACAACAAAGGCAATCAGTGATTTGCCTCAATACCAACAGGAAAAAAAGCCTCTTGATTACCCACTGGTTTGGCCCAGGTAAGCAAAACTAGCTCATAGTATTTTTCTCTACAAATATCAACAAAAGGTTTTGCCAATGATACTTAAAGCTGAGTTGTGTTGGAAGGACTAGCAGTTGTAATGTTGTATATGGCCACTGTTGGAGTTATTTCCCAGACGATTGCTATGGTCTCACCCATAAATGTGTTCTAAACTAGAGTCTACAATTTATTTTACTATAAAACTAAAAACCAATTTAATATTTTGAAATGCAATTTTAAAATTTTATACACACTTTTTCTATTCAAGCTAACAGTTTTATCCCTTTGAAATAATGTACTACTATCCAGTCAGAGTTTAACTGGTAAGTTTTCATGTTTACAAAATTCCACATAAACTGGTAACTTAGGATAATTTTATCTTAACTTATAACACCACAATCAGAATGTGGCAGATTTAACCTCTATGTGTTAATAGGAGAAAACTATGGATGACACTTGATCAACCTTTATGTATAAATGTAACTCCTCACACATGAGCTATTTTAAGGGCTAATACAAAGCCCATATTCTCATTTAGGTTCATACATTACAATCAAATTTCACTTAAAACTGAAGAACTTAAGGCCTAGAAGTGTTCAAGACCTCAGGGATAATCTAATTCCACCCTTAAACAATTGAAGAAACTGAGGCCCAGTGATTTGCCCAAAATAATCAAGTAGCAGAGCCAGGATGATCCAATGAATCTAATACTATTTCCATTAAAGCATGCTTAGCACATTTTAGAAACTTCCATAAATTAAAATAGATTTTAATATAAAGAAACAGTTTAAATGTAAAGGTTTCCATGGGAGAGTATCCACGGACTTTGGACCTTATACAATTCCTATGTAAAAATTCCCACATAAAATAAAAAATCTCATCTACTAACTTATTACATTTCAACTGTTTCTTTGAAGAAACAATAACTCAGACACTAAAAATAGACGTTTGGGAAGTTCATCTAGTGTGTATTATACCATTAAAAACATTCTTAAAAAGACATTTTACAATGGCAAAAAACATATACACCGAGATTCCACACCAATCTTTATTTGTATTTTGGGGCCTGAACAAATCTTTATAATTACCTCTTCCAAATTACATTTTATTTAATGGTGTGGTTTACCCCCAATTCCACAAAAACAAGTATGATTAATACACTAGAAATATCTTAAAAGAGAACCCCTTAAGACAATTTTTACTGACCAGTTCAGACCAATGATTGTCTCAGAAATTGAATCTATTAATTTTCTGGTGGAGTCATTTTAGAAAAAATTTTATAACCAAATTAGACATCTAACTAATTTATGTCTAAGTTTTAGCATTCACATCTCAAATCATGGAAGCCTTATTTTATAAAACTTTACCACTCAAGGTAAACATAGTTCATTACATGTCAATGAAATGATGAATTCTCTAAATTATCCACCAAAACCTGAAAAACCCAAATATCTAATTATAACACTGATGTATCTACTAATGATCATGTACATTATGATGGTGTTTTAAAAAATATCTATAGATTTAAATAAGAAGCTTGCATATTATGGCCGAGTAAATAAAACTGTCAACTACTACTTTTGGCTCTAGTTTTATCTTGCCCAAAAATGTGCATAACATAGCCAGCAGAACTTTTCTGTAGAATTTTATTTTGAAAATATTATTTCACTTGAAGATTGATCTAAAAAACATTTTAAGATATGAAAATGTTATACAACTTATCTATTACAAATCAACCAGATAATTAATTCTGTAATTAGGTACACTGTGTTAGCTCACCTACATAAAAAATATTGCACATTTTCCTTTATTTTGGGTCCAGATGTGACTGATGTCTAAACTATATAGAATTCCAAACTATTTAAAAGTTATTCTGTGAAATGTCAACTTTATAAATATCAGAACTAAATGCACTGTAAAACAACCATTTTGGTAAACATGCATTTATTCACAGTTGATTTCCTCTAGATAAATGCATAACTGCTCAAAATTATTTAAGAACCCATGTAGAGGTACGAGAGTACACTATACAAATCTATTTCTACCTTCATTTTTAGGAAACACTGATCTTGGCAAAAATCTGGCTTATTTTAAAATGAACTATTGCTGGTAAGAAGGCATACTTTAAAACTTTTCTGTGACCTGCACCTGCTCTTTTCCTTTTAAATGAAAATTTAAAAGCATTTATTTTAGAGATTTATCTGACCATCGCAGTATAAGTGAATAATCATATAAAAGCGGACCCCAAAAGCAGTTGAGCATTAAAATGCCCGCAGAGCCTCATTTCACTCATTATAACTGCCTTAAATTGCTAGACCACTCACTGATCATAATTTTAAGAAAGTGACGAAACCAGACCATTTTAATGTTATGAAATTGACACAAACCTGCATAACACAGCATTCCTCCACTGAGCTGAGGTCATATTATACTTTAAAAATATAAATAAATACATTGAATTGTGAGTCTTACTTCTATAACCTCAAAGTGTTTAAAATATGCTTCGAAAACAGAAGTGGGTAACTGCAGAATATAGTTCCAGACTTGACTATTAGTGTCAAACACAATTGTTCCTTATAAATAGCTAATGGTGCACTGGCTTGATTGATTCCAGCAATTTCATTTTACAGGAGTGAACTATGCTTTATACACACAGAGAATAGATTACTTGAAAATCCCCGAAATAGGAAGAAATGTTTAGAAAGCTGTCAAATGCTTCTAAATTTCTTGGCCCTCTTCCACACCCTTAAAGTTGGAATTTGACAAAAATCCATGGGTACAATTTACAAACGTTGACAAACTATGAAGTTAAAACTATTTTCTTTGGGGGAGATGAGAGGAAATACCTTTAAAACCTGTAATACAAAACTCCAGCTGCCTTTTTATAAAAGTACGTTCCTTAGATTAAAATCATAAAATTAAGGTGCAAGAGGTTAACAAAAATGAACTAAAGAGCTTTATTGACATCACAGTACATTCAAGAATAATTTTAAGAACATTACAGCTGAAAGAGAATGGCGTGTTTATAGTCTTATGCACTATTTTTTGAAAAAATGTAATACAAAGAAATCCTATTAAGTAACTTGGAGCAGCATTTGGAAAAAGTACACCTATTTACAGATTAAAAAAAAAAAGATTCTGGTTTCACCTACACAGCCACAATGTGCCTCTATAATGAGACAAGCCCTTAAAACTCATGGAATTTTTTTAACATCATGGCATTCTTGCCACATCATTCCTCAGCGTTTACGACGGGGAGGGGTTGTTGATCTGAAAAAAAAGGGAAAAGACAAAATTTAAAAATAAAAATGTATTTTAAACTCAAGAATCTGCAATTTTTAAATAAATAATATTATATAGGATTTCTAAAATTACTTAAGACTATGATCATTTATCAAGTACCAAACTGAGTTTATTAAAGAGAGAGAGAGAGAGAAAGGACACTTTCAACTTTGAATAATTCAGTCAAATTTTTTAAAAAATCAGACAAAATACTTTAAAAAGTATACTACCTTGATCGGGACTTAGACTTGTGTTTGCGGCTTGCCTTCTTACCAGACCTTTGAGATTTCTCCATGGATCGCGATCGACTATGTTTAGGCTTCTTAGCCTTCTTTTCTTTGCTACTTCCTGGAGATTCAGAACTGCTCCTTCCACTAGAATCAGAGCCTGAATGTTTTTTACTATCTTTGGTAGTACTCTTCTTACTATCTTGTCTAGAATCATGTCTGATGATTTTAACAGATATAGAACCACTCCTAGAGAATGTTCTTTCACTTTCTCGTTTCCTTTTTAACCTATCATCCTGACTACTGAACTTAAAATCTTTTTCTTCCCTTTTTTGTTTCTCTTTTCTCTTATCCTGTTCACGCTCCCTTTCTTTGTCTTTCTTTTTC